TTAGGTACACTGATCAAACGTGTGTCAGGCAGACTTTTATTTTTTATACCCTGACCCTACTCCTTAGATCAAAACATAGGCTATCTCCAGCACCCATCTTCCTAGGCTATTTTTCATCCAGCATCCTCCTCGTTTTAATATCCTGCTTGGGCATTTATGACTCAAACTTAGTTTCCCTCATCCCTTCCTAACTTGACTTGCTTTTAAATACGCCCTTGTATTAATTTTACTTGCAGTTCCAAAATGAGCTATCAAGAACTCCAGACCAGAGTAGAGAACTATTTACTCTAAATATTTTGCCAGCAAATGTTAACACTGGGCATACTGAAATATGGATGGCTACGCATAACATCATTTGCTTTTTAATTCATTCCCACATAATTTTGGAAAATTCTTATAAACAAATATGTCAGACATAGCTGATCTTCCTACCAAGACAATGCCAACGTGCATACACTCTCAGAAAACAAAGAAAATCATCCACATTCCCAAAGATGATTTCTGAGGCTGGGGTAGGTGCTGACTTTCCTCTGAACAATGGCAGTGCAATCACTCTCTGTGTTGTGAATTGGCCCTTACACTTTGATCATTTCATACACACAAATGGCATCATGTGTTCCAATTCAGTTATGTGTTACCTGGTCAAACATTTGTAATACATTTGCTTGTTTTGAACACACTGAAGGTTTACTGCCTGCATAGGGAAAAAGTCTAATTAATTGGCAGTTAAGAAAACTAGAATGTGTTGGTTTGCAAGCTTTATCAAAAAGATATTCCCTTTATTAGAAATCTAATCTCCTGTAATCCATAATTTTGAGTTTTAAAAATTCAATTAGTTTATTCATTCATTCACTTTTAGAAATGGAACCATCACAAACCTACCATGTGAACACGCTGTTAACCAACTTTTAAAATACCACTTCAGAAAGGCAAATTAAGATGATAACCAATCACAATTTACATAAAATAAAATAATTTGTCATCGCCTTGATACACATAGAAAGTATTAGGCTTGACACTGAAATGCAGTTTTGTAAAATTACATGACAACTGTGAAATCTGTGTTATTATGAACAATCCCAAAGATAAAATTACATAATTAATAACTTATTTCTAGAATTATTAGCTACCAGAAGGAATGTAGATAGGCTAATCAAGTTGTTTCCTCTGATATGAATTAAAGATAAATTCTGTATTTGAAAGCAAGAATATAAAGAAACCCTAAGAAGCTTTTAGGAAATTGAGTGAAATTAATTAAAAGTTGTGTTTTATAGTTTTGCCTATCCTGGCATCTTCTTATTGTCTTTGAAACATTTCAAAAATGACCCAGCTCGTAGCTACATATTCCTTTCTCATAGCTAAGTTATTAAGAACAAAATTAAATTTCTATCTGCATGTGCACTACAGAGAATATTTTTCAAAAGCAACACAATCCCTGGAAGGAATGACTTTCCAAATGTAAATCAATTTTGTAGTTAAGGAACTGCAAAAGGATACAACTACACTCTGAAGTTTCCAATCCGGATTATAAACCAAGATTGCTACAGTTGACAAGTTTTTTGAAACTGCTTCTGAGAGTTGCCTTTTTTTTTTTTTTAACGTTTATACTTCTTGACAAAGGGTTTGGACTATCCTAGGTCAGTTTCTTGTTGTTTCTCTCTGTGTGTTGGGCAATGTGGATGAATATATGAACAGGTTCCTATCACAATTAATCAGTTAATGGTGTTGGTCAAACATTTTTTATATATTCAATTAAGAACTAAGTACCTGAAGTTGGCAGTACTGATTTCACAGAAACATGGCCTGGGAATTTTTTAAAAAACAATTTTGGTCCCACTTCTGATCAACTAAATTAGAATATCTATAAGGAAGTGCCAGAAATTTGCATGCTTTAAAGACTCCCTAGGAGATTGTAAAGTACAGCCAGATAGAGAAACCCTGAATTAAGAATAAGAAATGTCAAGCTAACTACTTTTAATTTTGATGCTGTATTTGTCTAATAAAAACAACAGAAAAACTAGTGAAATACTTTCAATAATGTACTATAACAATACATTGCCTTTAGATGTTTAATTAAAAATGCATTTGTTTTGTAAAAGCCATACAATTTTATTGACAGACATCAATGAATACCGAACTTAAGGGTAGAAATCATCTGTTCATTGCAATAAATTGGATTTGAGATGACTGGTTTTGCTATTTAAATAATCACTATTTACCCCCATTGAGTTAAAAGTTCCAAGATGACAATTTTAAATATGCAGAAAAAAATTTTCTACAAATTGCTTCTCTATTCCAAACCACACATTATTCATCTTTCCTCTATTATTTCTAATTTCTTAATTCCAAAGTCATAGAACTATAAGATTAAATCAACATGGTCCTTGTTTTCACTATACATTTATGGTCATTAATAGCATCACAGAATGCCATTTGTAGCAAATAATTCAGATTCACATTACATACAATTTTCAAATAATATATACAATATTCTTAATTAATTCTTAATCAAGGAAGCAAAATAATCTGCCATCAGAGAAATCATTTGATCAGAACTGGAAGGAACAAATATTAGCTTGAAGACGTAGAACTTTGAGCTTCTTTGTGAAAAATTCATGGTAATCATTCTTCTTCTGTAGTTCTGGAACTTTTCATAAGTGTGGACTCTGTTTTAACTTTGATCAGAGCAAGAATAGCAGCACTTTAACGCATGATTGTTAAATTGTACTGAATATTTTTTTAAATCTTGAAAAGATAATACGGTATGAGTAGACTCTGCATTTTCAGTTATTCACAAATATGTATTCTAGAAATACCCCAAATTGCATCACTGGTCACGGTTTTCTACATTATAAGAAAAAAGAATCCAAGATGTTTTTGGTGTATAGTCGCTTAACTTTATAAATTCAGAATGGTTTTAAATTTGTTTCTTTTTTCCCATAAAACACAAATGCTGTGACAAAACATAGGCATCTAAGTTAAAAACATTATAGACTACCATTGAATTATTATAGTTTAAATAACACTGATTTAGATTCTTGTGTCATTCCTAATGTGTCATATCTATAATGTGAATGTGATTATCAACTTATTAATTTCTTAAAATCCAATAATTCTGCTAAAGAAGAACATTTTAACTGATTTTTTTGAAAATTTTCTGCAAAAATATAACACATTTAATACTGTCATATTTACACAGTAAAAGGTAGAACAGAAAATGTTAGTAATAAGGTCAAGAACCCTTTAGATGTTCTCAATCCATAACATTTGTGTCTAAGACTCTCAAACCTAAGGGTGAAAAGGGAAAAGTACAGGTGTTTATCTATTTGTTGCAATGTAGCACGTTAACAGTTATAGGAAACTGTTTTGATGTAGTGCTGAGCCTTTCATTTCGTCTGAAATGTTCTGGATTGTGTAAAATGGTACTGCTGTAGCTGACTTCAGAAGGCTGTGTGTCTACTTAGGCATTTCAGATAGCTTTATTCTTGCATTCCTTGGTTGTAGAAGACATTAGTTAGACTTCGGATATTTTTGTGAGCTTCAAAGTCATAGCAAGATAACTTTTCCTCTGGTATAAAGTACACCTAACTGTGGCCCTTGTACTTGAGTTCCTAATTACTACTAATTCCAATTTTATATATATATACACACACACACACACACACACAAACATTTAAAGGCTAAGGTTCAAATTCACTGGGACTGAAACGTTTTCAAACATTCTAATTGTACTTAAGATAATTTATTAACTCTGAAAGGAAGGCTGAGTGAACCCCTTAAAAATAAAATGCAACCCACTAATTCTGAAACTTTTTCTGGGATTTCCAAGTCAGTAGGTTTAAGTGAATTTACATCTTCCAAAATTCTGATTATGGTCAAATGTATATAAATATACACATTAAAAATTAAATCCCCTATACCATAGGCATAGAAAACAGTTGCTTGTGTGTCAGACTGACAGAGATGTTGCTGGAGATCTAAACATAGCTTTTATAAAACCCGAGGTATTTCCATGCTCATTTTAATTAGAAGGAAACTATGAGATAGATAACTCTCTCCTGCTAAGAAACCTGTATATAGGTGGGATTTCCCATGATTCAGACAGTGTGAAGCTCACTCTTACTCAGAAGACTGTCTCAACTCAATCATTCTAATTTAAAGCAGATGATACGGTTTTGAAGAAAAAGGAATTGACATATTGGTCAATGCTGACCAAAAGTAATGCAAATTACACTTTTATTGCAGTGAGCGGTCAGCTTCCCCCCTTTGAGAGACTCATGAATGACTGTACTGGGGAAAGGTGAAATGGTGTAAACCCTCCAATCTGGCCATCTTAGTTTGATCTGCGAGGCAAGAAGAGTCCAACACCCAGGTCCTGAGTGGCAAAGTGCAGCAGAAGCCAGACTCTCCTCCCTGACTCTCCCTATGCCCGGCTTGACGTGTGCGTTGAAACAAAGCGTGCTGGCAGCGGGTCAGAGAGATGGCTAACGGCAAGAGTGTCAGGAAGTCCCAGGCAAAAGCCTTAACATCACGGACGTCTCCCAGTCGTGGCTTTTACAGCTGACTCGTAAAATCACGAAACGGGCGGCGGGCGTGCTTTCCAACAGCCGCTTCCTGGATTATCTGAAACCGATTTTAAATGACTGTTATCTGTCGTCCGCCTTTATGAATCCTCGCCGTGTTTCTGAGAACCCTGGGATTTCCTGAACCGCAACGCGAGGAGAGGACGTGCTCGCGAGCGGGCTCCCGCTCCTCGGGTTCTTTCCGACCGCCACTCTCCTGCAGGGCAGAGAGCCCGAGAGTTCCCGGTACCGGCGGGGAGCAGCAGGTCCCGCCGCGGCCAGCGTGCGTCCGGGCGCGCACACGCGCACACACACACACCCTCCAACTCCGCGCGGTCCTGGCGCGCTCGGGGGTGATGCCTTTCTTCCCGGGTCGACGACGACCTTTGGCACCGGGTGCTCGCGACTCGAGGTGAGAGGAAGTCGCGGCGCCCTGAGGGCCCCCCCCCGGCCCCGCGCCGAGACCCCACCCCAGCCACGCGGCGTGGACGTCGAGTCCCGGGGCAGCGCCCCGCGCTCCCAGGCAGCGTGCGCTCGCAGGAGGGTGTGCGGCGCGCGGGGGTCTGCACGCGCGCTCCGCCTGCGAGCGGAGGGCGTGCCGGAGGCGTGGCGCGAGCGGCCCCGGCGAGGCCGCTCCGCGAGGCGGGCGCCAGTGGGCGGGACGCGGCGGAGCGCGGCCCGGGGAAGGCTGCGCGGCGGCGCCGCCGGCGGCTCCCGGCTCCCGCTCTCCCGGCCGCCAAGAGCGAGCCGCCGTGGGCGGGGCCTGCGGTGATTGGCGGGCGGGCGGGGAGGTCGGAAGTACTTTGTTTTTTATGCTAATGAGGGAGTGGGGCTTGTCCGTATTTACGTTGAGGCGGGAGCCGCCGCCCTTCATTCACCCACATGGTCCTTCGAGGTGCCGCCGCTGCCGCCCGGCCCGCGCCTTCGCGCCACTTCGCGCCCTCGGGCGAGGCCGAGGGGGTGGGGACGACCCCCGCCGCGCCGCCGCGGCTCGCGCCCCTCCGCGAAGCCCCCTCCGCGGGGCGGGCCGCACCCCCGGCCCTGTGGCCTCCGGTCGTAGTAAAGCGGAGGCGGGTGGGGAGGCGGGAGCGAGAGCCCGCGGCGGGCAGGGCGAAGATGGTGGCGGCTACTCCTCCCGGTGAGTCGTGCCCACCCCTCCGCCGACTGAGAGAAACCTGTTGTGTGCGGCCCGGGGCCGGCGGGCGGGGCGGCCGGGGCGGCGTGGCGGCGGCGTGGCCGGGGGCCGAGGCGGGTCTCGGGCCGTTGGCCGGCCCCACGGGGAGCGGCCGCCACTCGCCGCCCCTCGCTCGCACGCTGGCTCGGTGGAGGGGCCGGGCCGGGCCGGGGAGAGCGGGAGGGGGCGGCGTGCGCGCGGCGGCGGCGGCGGCGGCCGCGCCCGGGACCCGCGCGGACCCCGGCGGGGCCGGCCCCAGAGGGCGGGTGGGCGCGCGGCGCACACAATGGCCCCTCGGGGAGAGAACGTGCGAGGCCCGCGCCCCCGGCCCCGGGGCCCGGGTGCAGGCGCGGGGGCGCGGGGTCCCCAGGCAGGGAAAGTTTCTCCCGGGGGCGAGAGTTAAAGCGCCTCTAGAACAAAGCGGCGGCAGCGGGCACATGGGGCAGGCCGCGGGCCGGGAGGGGGCGCGCCCACGAGGTACCTGCGCGCCGGCGGGCGGCGTGGCGTGGGCGGGAGCCCGCGGTCCCCCAAACTTTAGGAGCGCGAGGGCGGGCGCGCGGAGTGGGGGGGGGCGGCGGCGCGGGAGCTCGGGGCCGCGCGGCCTGGGTGCCACCCCCGCTCCGCGTGGGCTTTGTTACCCCGCGTGGGCTGCCCCCAGGCGCGGTTCCCAACTTCCCGGGCCGTGGACCCCCCCGGCGGCGGCCGCCGGAGCTCGCCTCGGCTGAGGCGTGGAGCCTTCTGCGCCCGCCCGCTCCGTGGGAGTGCGGCGCGGGAGGGACGGCCCGGCTCGGCGGGAGCGGCGTCCCCGCCGCCATGTTCCTACGGGGCGGGCTGCGCGGGGGTGAGGGCGGGGGACATGGCGGCGACTGCGCGCCGCCGCCGATTGTTCCCGGCTTAGGCCTCGGGCCGCGTGCGACGGGCACCGCAGCCGCGGAGCCCCCGCCCCTCTGGGCCGGGCTGGGGGGGGGGCGGGGGACACAAAGGAGGGGCGGCGCGCCCGCGTCCACGCCGCACTCGGGCCTCGGCGCCGCCGGTCGCCGCGCGGCTGCCGCCGGGAAACGGGGTGGGGGGGGGTTGCCGCGTCCGGCGGGGCCCGATTCGGACGCATCACCCCCTGGCGGCCGCGCGGGGAAGCGCAGGGCCGCGCGCCCCCTTGTGCGACATGTGCTGCCGGCCCGGGCTCCATGAGCGTGGCGGGCACTTTGCAGTCTCGGGGCTGGCTTCCCCGTTTTCTGTTCCCGACCCAGGGCAGTAGGGAGAGGAACCAGAGAAGGCAGGTTCGTTGGCTGTGATATCACCAAAAGAAAAAAATTGAGCTGCGTGCCGTCAGGACCACAGCAGTTGAGGAAACAACTCTTTTATCCCGGCTTGCAGCCACGAGGTCTTGATGGGGGGAGGGGTGGGGAAGAATAGTCCCTGGACTGCGTTTTTCCTCGGAGCTGTGCGGTAGTTAATGATTGCTGCTGATCAAGGTCAAGTATTTCAGGAGTTTGAGACGTGAATCTGATAATCTAGAGATTTTCTAACTTTATTCTCATCCACCTTTTCACCCATACATTGTTGTTGGTCTTTTAAATCCTGCTTGTGTTGCCTCGCTCTGTTTCCTACAGGTTTTTGCACGTGAAATTATTTGGTATTGGGTTGGGAAAGGGTGATTTTAAATAGGTGATAATTTTGAGCCAATGTTTTATCTTTTTTTTCCTTGTCCCCCCCACCCCCCGCCCCCACCCCAGTTATCCACGTGGACCTAACACTGCATCCGAAGCTTTCTAAGGATACTTGCTGAGAAGTTTTCCTGAGTGGGTAAGTGTGTTCTAATTTTCTTTTTTAAGTTCTCTTAAAAACAAGTTTTCTCTGGACTTTTATCCTCCAGCTGAATGAATGCGATATGATGGGGCTTCTATGGAGTGATACAGGCTTTTTGTACTTTGTCCAATTTACCTTGTCTAGAAAATTAATTCGAGTGTTGGCCATCTGACTTTTAAGTTAATAAAAGTACAGTGCAAATCTAACACGCAGCTTTAGAGACAAACGGATAGATTTTTAGAATCTATGAATTGGATGATTCAGTAGATTTGATCTGGGGTGATGAATTTTTTAAGATTTAAAAATATTTGAACAGGGTATTTAAGTTCCAGAACTAAGTGATAAATTTGAAACATAGTCCAAACAGTAATTTTATTAATCGTTTTATCACGTATTTGCTAATTGGAAGCCAGAAGAAAAGGAAAATGTTTTGCCACGTGGATGTGAAGATTGCCTTCCTCTAAAAGGTACACATGAGTGAAGTTGCCCTGTTAATGTTCTCATTTATGTGCAGCCTGCTTTTGATTTTTTTTAAGTATGCATTTATAAAGGGCCAGATAAAAGGAAGAGCCACCATGTTACCTTACTGTGCTAGAATGGTGGTTGCTTGTGATTTGCTTTCTGTAAGAGTCTATTTTTGGAGCTTTAAAGTGTGTCTTAAGTGGGATAAACAAACTGATTTTCTCTTCTGTGCCAGGGATGATGTGAAATTTTGTGTGTTGTAGTTGTTAAGACTAAGGTGTTATTCTAATCATTTATTTCAGATTTAGCAGGAATAACAACATCACCTTGTAAAACTGAAGATTGTGACCAGTCAGAATAATGTCAAAGTGCTTACAGTGCAGGTAGTGATATGTGCATCTACTGCAGTGAAGGCACTTGTAGCATTATGGTGACAGCTGCCTCGGGAAGCCAAGGTGGGCTTTAAAGCGCAGGGCCTGCTGATGTTGAGTGCTTTTTGTTCTAAGGTGCATCTAGTGCAGATAGTGAAGTAGATTAGCATCTACTGCCCTAAGTGCTCCTTCTGGCATAAGAAGTTATGTTTTCATCCAATAATTCAAGTCAAGCAAGTATATAGGTGTGTTAATAGTTTTTGTTTGCAGTCTTCTGTTAGTTTTGCATAGTTGCACTACAAGAAGAATGTAGTTGTGCAAATCTATGCAAAACTGATGGTGGCCTGCTATTTCCTTCAAGTGATTTTTTTATTTTATTAATTTTTTTTTTTACTAATTTTGTGTACTTTTGTTGTGTCGATGTAGAATCTGCCTGGTGTGTACGATGTGACAGCTTCTGTAGCACTAAAGTGCTTATAGTGCAGGTAGTGTTTAGTTATCTACTGCATTATGAGCACTTAAAGTACTGCTAGCTGTAGAACTCCAACTTCGGCTGTCGCGCAATCAAACTGTCCTGTTATGAACACTGTTCTATGGTTAGTTTTGCAGGTTTGCATCCAGCTGTGTGATATTCTGCTGTGCAAATCCATGCAAAACTGACTGTGGTGGTGAAAAGTCTGTAGAAAAGTAAGGGAAAATCAAACCCCTTTCTACACAGGTTGGGATCAGTTGCAATGCTGTGTTTCTGTATGGTATTGCACTTGTCCCGGCCTGTTGAGTTTGGTGGGGATTGTGACCAGAAGATTTTGAAAACTAAAAATTACTGAAGATTCCGACTTCTGCTGTTAAATAATCAAGAACTATGGAACTTAAAAAAAAAAAGTTTGTAACTTTAGTTTTGTTGCTGTAAGACATATTATTTTCTGCTTGAAATCGAATTTTGTCTTATTTTTGTGCTTGAACACTTCTGAGACTGCATGTTAAAAGGTACAAATACAGATTTCGACTAAGTTTTATGCTGATTTAAGGCTGTCAAGTATTTCATTATGATTGTGTCTTAAACTTACTGTAAATGCATGGTCATCTGTGCACTTAGGATATGCTATTTTGCTTTCTTTGAACCTAGTTCATGATTTAGCTAATGTGAAAGTTAATGAATCATGTTACTTAATACATTATTCAAGCATTTAAGTTAAATGCCATTCCATTTACATCAGTGTGTAAAGAGGGGTTTTTTTTTTTTTAAGCGTGGAATTTAGGATGAAGAGACTATGTTTAGTAAACAGTATTTTTCTAATATGGGTTCTGGATGTGATCATTAGCTGGCTATGTTAGTGTTTCTTTGGTTATTAATGGTGTAAGTTGTCAATGACCCAGGGTCCTCAGACTAGAATTTAAAAGAAAATTTTTTTTTTGTTTTAAGAAACACTGCTGATTGTACTGACAAATCTGTATTTGTACATGTCCTTAATGCCAAGAGTGTAATGGTGGGCTACAAATTTGAATTTGGTTTTTCTCTATAGTTGGATTTGTTCCCTGCTTCCCTCAAAAACTGAATTTTTGTGACGGTGATAGTTGCTTCTAGGTTGGTGTGATTTATATCACTGAAATAGAACTTAAGAGGTGGCAGTTAAAATTTGTCATCCAGCATTTCTGCCTTTTCTTTCATTTGTTTATTGTCTCTGTGCTTGATATATGTAGAAAAATGTGGATTACCTTAAGACTAGTCATATTCAAAAGAAAAGGTTGTTTGCAGACCCACTCTGAGGTGTAGAGAAACTTAATTTCATTGTATTTTGGGGGGAAATGCCAGGTAATCAAATTTTGATAACCTCATCAACTATACCACCTGTAGATAAACATCTTTTTAAAGTAGAAGTCTAATGTGAAAAGTTTTCAGCTCTTATATATCAGCTTCTTGAGAGCTTAACTCCTGAATAGAAAGGTAAGAGTTTCAGAGTTCTGGAAGTGATTAAGTGGTAAATTTTCAGGGTGAGAAAAAAATTACATAGTCATTTTTAAGATTAACCTATTTAGCCAGGTTCTTGAACCTTTTAAAAGTTTTGTAACATTACCATGGATTATAGTGGTCTTCATGAGTATCCTGCACTTGTGAATAAAAAGTAAAAAAGATGTTTATGTTTACCTTGCCATGTAATTTTATTTAAAAACTTTTGAATGCACTAGCATTATTTTTAAGAAGTGAAACAGTGATTTGAACCCCACCAGATGACTTCTAAAGTGTGCTAAAATGTAAGTCAAATGAAGTTTAGTCACAAAGCCTTAAATGGTCAATTTTCTTTTCCTGGGTGCTTAACTTCTGTAGTACTCACTGTGTTCAGAACTTAATTGGGACTTGAACTGAGATTTAAATCTAATAAGCTAACGAAAGTGTATGTTCTGTTAATAGGGTTGGTTAGTGAAGTTGTATAGTTTCATAGGAATTTTTTTTTATTTCTTTCTGGCTTTATAGAATGTGACAAACTTGGTTTTGCTTCTAAGGTTTTCTCAGGCATGATAATAACTAACAAAAGCCATGAAAATATAAAGGCCAACCTAAGTATTTAACAACTTTGAGACTCAGATAAGTGAACAAGTTGATGATTGCCTCGTTTCTAATAGACTTGGGGGAAAAAAAAAACAGCTTTCTTACAGTGCTCTGACCTAGAAGTTGTTTGAGACTTGGGTTGTGTTGCTTTTGGTTTAATGGATAGCCTTTTCTGGGGGCGGAAGGTGGGGGCGAGTGGACCTCTTGCTATTTTTGCATGTTACGCATGTATCATTCTCTGTTTTTAGCTTGCATTTAGGAAAAAGCACTTTGTAAAGCTCCTTGCCACAGCATCTGATTTTACTGAAAATCTTTGAGGTCTTCATTTTACAGGCAAACGCAGCAAGGCTGACTTGAGTTTCTCCCTATCCATAGTCTGGAGAGTCCTGCATGATGATTCCAGACAAGGGCAACCTGCGAACTTCCTGGAGAACAGTTCAGTGTCATGTTAAAGTTTGTTTCACTTCATAAAGTGTTACTCTGTTGGTAATTGACAAGCCTGTGTTATATATGTCTGGTGTTAGAGAATTAAGAGCCTCTCAGCTGCACAGTAAGAGGTGAGGAGAGCTCCATGCAAGTTGTTTTTTTTTTGTCTTATCTGGAAGATTGTCATACCCACTCTAGCCTTTTCGGATTATCCTGTTTAGTTTCCATTCTGCTTAAAGCTTGAGTTAATGTGATTTTCTCTCAGTGTGTCATATTCTTGAATTTTAAAGCATCATTAAGAAAAGATGTTATGTGTTGCATGACTCTTGAGACCACAGCAAAATCGACAATGACCTTAGTTTTCTCTTTAAGAAAATTTAAAAGCATGTTTGGACACACTGAGTTGTGTTAGTGAATGTTATGTTAATGTTAAATACTGCATTTCAAAACTGCTTGTTAAGGAATTGTCCAGAATGAATGTTAAAATAAAAAATTAAAGATTTTACTTTAGCAGTGTTTCTGGTGTTTTTCACTTGCTTTGTTAGAGTAAATGGCCTACAAGTTTTTGCTAATTAAGTGGAGAACTGGAGTAAAGTACCAAAGTTACTCATCCACATTGTTGAATTTGTATTACCTGTAGGATGTGTTTGTATCCTGATTTTACAGATGAGGAAATAAGAACTTTATTTGTAAGGATACAGCAAAGCTAGTAAATAAGTGGATTCTGGATTCATCCTTTGTTAATACTGTGTGTAAGAAATTTTCTTTTACCCACTGTTGTATTGGGTCTGGCAAGTTCTCAAATCCATAGTGTGGTTCCTTTATTTGGTTATTTGGGATCTGAATACTGTCACTCAGGCTAAATATGAGGACAGTCTGGCTGTGGCATACGTCACCGCATTGAATGTCTGTTGATGTGCAATTCATCTGGCTGGTTAGGTGGGTATTCCCTTCACTGCCCCATGTTTGTCCCTTCAGAGCTGCCTTTGCAGCTACTTGCATATCCTTGACTGAAGAACACTCCCCTTTGAGAACCTCTCAACTTCCCTAAAGTAACTTAAAATCTGATGTGAGGGAATCCAAGTACAGATTAGCTTCTTTTAAGGTACAGAGCATAGGCACTCCAAACATTGAGATTTCACCAATTCAGTGAAGCATCTCTTGTTTTTGATGGGGCACTGTATGTGCGTTTTTAATTTTTCTTAACACGTTGAAGTTTAAGAGGAGATAAGTATGATAAACGTGTTCAATTCTTCGTTTTAGTAGATGGTCAAGTGTGTATTGACTGATAGGGGTTGAATGTTGCTTTAACAGGTGTGTGTGTGCTTAGCAGCATCGAATGCATATTCTGAGGGACCCTCAGTTAAGTAATTTCTAAATGTTGAAAAATAGTAAATATTTTAAAGATGAGGTATTTGACAAGCAAGAATTTCCCAGATGCTGGCAGTTTTAAGTAGATTTACTAATTTAAGAAATTGCTAAATGCCAGGATGAATACAGGCATAACAGGGCAAGTTTTAATGTGGTACAGAAGAAACCCACAGTGGGTAGCAAGTAATATTTCCCTTAATGACTGGTAATTTTTTTATTCATTTGAGAGTGTTCCCATATGCTGGTTCACTCCCTCATAACCCTGAGGGCCAGCAGGATCCAGGAACTGAATCCAGGTCTTCTACACAGGTGGCATGAATTTAAGCTCATCACTATGACCTTCAGGTTATGTGTTGGTGGGAAGCTATAGCCAGGAGCCTGGTCCTGGTATTGAACCCAGGAACTTCAGTGTGAGATGGAAATGTCTTAGCCACTTGCCTAAATACCTGTTCTTGAATGCACATTTTTTAAAAAGATTGATTTATTTGAAAGGCATAGAGGTCTGACATCTGCTGTTTCACTCCCTAAATGGCCACAACAGCCAGAGCTGGGCCAGTCAGGAGCCTCTTTGAGGTGTGAAGTTGGAAGGCTCTAAGCACAAGGGCAGTCTGCTTTCCCAGGCCATAGCAGAGAGCTGGTCAAAAGTGGAGCAGTCAGGACTTGAACTGGTGCTGAGATGGCATTCTAGCACTGCGGGCAGTGGCTTTACCCACTGTACAATGGTGACCCCAGAATGCACATTCTTAATGATTAGTTACTGAAAGCAGGAGGCCTACATTTAGTGACATTTTTGCTTAAAAGATGGGCATGTACCACTTTTCACATTTAATAGCTATTGAGGTGGGCTGAAGGCACCACTTAGGGATTTAAGCTGAGACAATGAGGGATAGAACACCACCATTCAACAGGTTGGATGAGCAAAGGCCTCTGGATGGTCAAGAATTTCTGAAAGTGGGAGTACTGTAAAGTGGCCTTAGGCAGTGCATTAAGTTCAATGAAGACTTCCTAAAATTACTTAGGGACTAGGCATTTGCCAAGGTAAGGTTCTTAACCACAGTTGGGAGTTGTAGTTATCCAAAGATAATTTTCTCCCTATTTTCATGAGTATTAGAGTCTGGGCTGAGTGATATTTCAGAATATTAACTGAGACAAAAGTGCAGGAGACCCTTACAGCGGTGCTTTATAGTTAGTATGGAGGTAAGAGACTCCCTAAACAAGAGAAAATAATTTTATATACATTGATTCTTCAGTTTTACACCTGCTGTGCCTTTACAACTGTGCTTCAGAATCCACAGCATCTCACCAAATTGAGGCAGTAATTAACCTTTTTCTCCAGTGATACTTTGGGTAACCTCACCTAATGCAGGTGGTGTGTATGTCTTTCTGCTACATACGGATTTCCTCAAGGGTTGGCCCTTGTTCCTGTGAATAAGTAAGGGTGCAGTCATTGGTCTCTGCTTCAGCAGTTGAATACCTGAGACTTCCTGGTTTAACCTCACAACACTTCAAAAGTACAGATCTGTAACAGCAGCATAAATGGGAATTAGGCTTGTTACTACCACATTCCTGTATCCCCTGAACAATCTCAACCTTAAGGAATTCCTGGAATCAAGTCTCATGGTTCTGTGTTTAGCCTTAAGTCTTTTTGTCTGCAAAAGAATTATATACCTGTACCTTAAGGCTTCAATAGCAAATTCTTAAATTTGGAGTTAGAAAAGTGGTTTTTAGCCTTTCCAGGATAGCTGCTGCTGCACAGAATTGTACCTGCTGTCTAACCTTGGAAGACATGACACCCCCCACCCCCAACCCTTCCGAATGTCCACTATTTAATCCAGCTTGCTTCTGGTCTTTGTACAAATGGCAGGTCAAAGTAGCTTCTTCTCCAAACTGCTGAACTGGCCGACACATTTTCTCATTTTTAAGTCTCCCTTACCCCCAAAAAACATCTGTCAGGGATTTGAAGATGTGTGGTACATTGATGTTGGTGTTTCAGCACCTAAAACTACCTGGTATGTGGAAGGTACTAGCAAACTGTAGGGGCCAACAGGTGAGTACTACTGCTAGAATGAGAATGGGTCAATGGAAGGAAAAACAGGCAATGACTGAATGTGTATGGGACCTTAGAAGTAACTACTGTAGGTGGCATTATTGGCAAATGCCTGCACTGTGCTGGTGAGCAGGAGACTTGCGTAAAACCGAAAAGATTTTGCATTTAATCTCACAGGAAAAGTGATGTATCTTCCATTTATTTGTGTGGAAATGTTAATAGTGAACCTTAGGAAGTAAGTGTTAAACTGCTAATTTTCATGGAGGAAGCAGCTGATGGAGAAGAAAAGTGACAGCCCTCTCCATACTTACTAAGAGGTAAAAGTGCTGAGAGGTCATGCTTAGTGGCAGATTAACAGCTCTCAACATGGTTTTGTTGCCTGATGTAATGCTTTTGCCCATACTGTTTTTTTTTTTTTTTAATCAGTTATTTGTTTACTTCTCAAGCCCCTGGTTTTTGGTTATCAAAGTTTTAGCATCCCTTCTCTGGTATGTTATTTAGAAAAGTAGTGCTAACCCAAATGTTATTCAGCTTTCTAACTTCAGACTTTGCTTCCAGGAGAAGCTATCAGAAATACAGGATACTCTCCATTAATAATGGTGGCTTTATTAAGTTTTGAGTTGTCTGCTTTGGTGCCCCGACAAAGCAGCATTGAAGTGTGTGTGATGTGAGGATGATGGTAAAGATTGAAGAAAGGGAAACGAAATACCTTCTCCAATTCTAGGAAATACACAGAGATTGCTAAGGCAGGTGATTTCCACAGGATACTCATGTCATGGTCTACTTTGCGGGACCCATGAATCTAGGCAGATTACTCTTCTGAGTTACTCTGGATCTTGACTGAAAAGCTTAAGGGGATATGGAAGAAGTTTCATAGTATAATATTTAAAAAGGAGAGTTTGGGTGTAAGAACAGACTTCTGTCAGTGGTTTAGGCAAGTTGAGTGCCTTTCCTCTTAAAATTGTGAACTCAGCTTTCCACATCTCGGTCAACAGGGCGGATGTCATAAACTATCACTGTTCACATCCAGCTACAAAATAAGCCTTCATTCCCGCAACCTCTAAAATGAAGTTTCAGCTTCACTCTGAGCAGACTGAGGTTTTGGACCCACCTGAACTAATTTAAGGGACAAGATCATGTTTAGCCCTGAATCTCATGTGCCACATGTGAGAGTGACAGGGTCGGCTCTCCACCCCACCCTCCACAAAGCACAGAGGTCCCTTAGGTAGTGTGGGTTGCTGGAAGATAACTGAGGGGTGGAGGAAGGGTTGTGTGTGCAGGTGCACATCTCAGCTGGCTTTAAACAGAAAAAGTAGAGTCCTATGAGGGTGGAGGTAGGAGGTAGGAGGGTACAATTTCCAGGCCAGAAGACAAGCATGCTTTACCAGGCTTACAGAACTCTTTACCCGAAATGTGCAGACCTGTTTTCAGCTGCTGCTTCTAAGTCTGGACCTAAACGTTGCTTACCCTGCTCTATTCAGTTGTGATCTGCCATTTGTTTCTTTCAAAGCATTTACTACAGTTTAACGATTTTGTTACATGTTTGAATTTTTTAGGTATCTGTTGTGACAAATTGGTATAATTTAATGAGTATGTCTCTCTCCTTAAAGATGTCAGGACTGTGTTTCTGGAGGTTCCCTGGGATACAAGTTTCTTGTCCAACTAATGAAGGCTGCATTCCTTGGCTCATTCCCTTCATCTACAGATCCAACAATGGGCATCAACAATGGGCTTCCTTTGCCGTTGGTTCACCCTCCAGTGGCTGTCGCGGCCAGTGCGCTGCGGCCAGCGCACCGCGCTGATCCAATGGCAGGAGCCAGGTACTTCTGGTCTCCCATGGGGTGCAGGGCCCAAGTACTTGGGCCATCCTCCACTGCACTTCCCTGGCCACAACAGAGAGCTGGCCTGGAAGAGGGGCAACTGGGACAGAATCCGGCGCCCCGACCGGGACTAGAACCTGGTGTGCCGGCGCCGCAAGGCGGAGGATTAGCCTAGTGAGCCGCAGCGCTGGCCAGGCATCAGTTTCTTATATGACATTACTCTGTCTCCTCTTCCACTTTTAAATACCCTTGTAATGATTATTTTGAGCCCA